CAGGGCAGTTAAAGCGGTCTCAAACTGGATTATTTCTGCAGTGTTTGGGCCTAAATTGCTCAGGCCTGTTGATGTATTCTGGGGAGACAAGGCTGGGCATAGACAGTTTAATGCACATATTGGAAAAAGCCTAGAAAGTAATCCATTTTCATACCGCTTCAGTTGCCACGGCTGCGTAGTGTGGCATTCTGGGAACTGTAGTTTGTTGTGGGGCCCAGAGCGGAGCCCCACAACAAACTACAGTTCCCAGAATGCCATATCACGCAGCCGTGGCAACTGAAGCGGTATGAAAATGGATTACTTCCACAGTGCAGATGCCGCCTCAAATAAAGCAGACAGAACTGGACACAGAAACATTTCCTCAATGAGCCCCGAGGGGAGACAGGCGTCCATTCGTCCCTAAAATGGAGCCCACTTAACCTTCTTCTCAAGGTGCCCTCTAAGGAAGAGGCGACGACCCCGGAGAGAAAGAGAAAGACCCCTCCCTCAGCGGCCCTCCCCTCCCCTCCCCTCCCCCCACTTCCGCTCTCGAGGCGCTCACCATTCTGCGTTGCTGAGGGCAACCGCGGGGCCCAGGCAGGAAGTGCGCGCGCGAGCCCCTCGCGCAGGAAAAGCGCTGGAGGGAAAGCAAAGAGCGGAGCATGGCTGCTGCGGCTGAAGGACGAGAGGGCGGGGGTCGGCAGGAGGAGGGGCCGAGGAGCCAATGGGAGGAGCCAATGGGAGAGGAGCCGCGTCCTCACGGGGCCACGCCCCCCTCCCGTGCCGAGCCAATCAAAGCAAGAGGCTTGGAACGACTGAAGGGTGAAATTGAAGAGCCTTGGTGGCGCAGTGGTTAAATACCTGTACTGCAGCCACTCACTCAGAAACCACAAGGTTGTGAGTTCGATCCTAGCCAGCGGCTCCAGGGTTGCCTCAGGCTTGCATCCTTTCTTAGGGCGATAAAATGAGTACCCAGCTTATTGGGGACAATTGGCTTACACAGTGTTTAAGTGGCTTAGGGAGTGCTTAAGTGCAGGTATAAGTGGCATAGAAAGGTACTTGTCAATTTCTGTGAAGATGCCAGCCACAGATGCTGGTGAAATATTAGAAAGAAACTCTTCTAGAACATGGCCACACAGCCCAAAAAACTATGTATTTGTTATTATTACTAAATTCTGTCTTGAGTGTGGCATGTTTGCACAGGAGTAGCCTGGACCCTTTCATATCTGACCCCTTCAGTGCTTCAGATTTGGGATTCAGGGTGGTTGGCTTATTCTTGAAGTTATTCCTCTCTTTGTTGGGGAGGGGGATGGCGATAATCTTTTGAAAAAAGATTGATGCGGGCTAGAAACTGAAATGCAAAGCTGGGGATATATGGAGAGAGAAATCCTAGAGGTCCCAGTGGGGTTCAGGAAAGGAAGAGGCACTAGGGACCCCATTGCAAACATGCGATGGCTAATGGAGCGCACCAGGGAATTCCGAAAGAAAATCAGCATGTGCTTTATAGACTATAGCAAAGCCTTTGACTGCATAGATCATGAAAGGCTATGGAACGCCCTTAAAGACATGGGAGTGCCAACACATCTGATAGTACAGGAAAGTGTAACTTATTCCTCGAGTCTATTACAAAATGATGACAGGATAGGGAGGTGTGGTGACAGAGCGATAAGATGGTGGCCGGCGCCCCCCCCCCAGGAGGCGGTGGGAATTGGCTGAAGTGGGTGCTCTGCTGATTGAGGCGGCTGCTTCACTCTGCCTAAAGAGGTGAGGCGGGTGGGGCAGGAGCAAGAATGAGGGCTCTCTTCCTCCCATTTCAGGTGCCCAGGTGGCTTCTGATACATCCCATTTGGTTAGAATCAATCTGCCGAGTCGTGCCATAGAATATACAACAGTAATATGTCACGGTCCATTTGCTAATTGCTCCTAAAACTGAGATATAAGCAACCATTTTTAAGACCCCCACTAAAGCCATTTGGACAAACTACTGACATTTGTTGTGGTGCTAAGCCTCCTCCCACCCCTCCTGAGAAATTATTAAGGTGATGAAAGTCATACTAATATAAATCAAGCAACCACCTTGCTCTTGCAGCTCAAATGGCAACACTTTGTTACAAGATTTCTTGCATGCCAGGTGACTGGAGACCTTTCCTTAAAGCTCAGTATATTTAACAAGCTGAACCAATCTTCAGTGGCACTTATTCTCTACAGCTATACAGTTGGACCTTGGTATCCACGGGGGATCCGTTCAGGATACCAAAAAAAAACAAAACACCCCAGTATCTCAGGTCCCATTGTTCTTAATGGTGGTGCAACATGAATGCACTGTTAGCATGGCAAAATGTACATGCAGCCATTGGGGGACAAGGGGCTTGCCATCCACAGAAACTTATATCCGCAGATGGCAAGCCTGCAGATAACAAGGCCCCACTGTACTGAGAAGTGTAGTCATGCTCATTGAGACTTAATGTTAGGTAGTTTGTATGTTCATGACCCCACTACCTTTTTCCGACAGCAAAAAAACTGAATTTGAAGAATGTGAACGGAGAAAAACTGAACTTTCTATTGGAATCTTTAGATTCGGAATTCAGCGGGGTTACCTTATTCTTGAGATTATTTCTCTCTTCATGCGGGGGGGGGGGGAAGGATAATCTTAAAGTTTGCTGCCTTTTCTGCGGACTAGAAACTGAAATTTTCTAGCTAGGACCCGGAACAACAGATGCAAGCTCCAGGAAAAGATTCCACCCCAACATTAGGATGAACTTTCTGACAGTAAGGGCTGTTCGACAGTGGAGCACTCTTCCTTGGTGAGTGGTAGCGTCTCCTTCTTTGGAGGTCTTTAAGCAGAGGCTGGATGGCCATCTGTCGGGGATGCTTTGATTGGGAGTTCCTGCATGGCAGGGGGTTGGACTGGATGGCCCTTGTGGTCTCGTCCAACTCTATAATTCTATGATTCTATGAAATGAAAAGCTGGTCATATACTGAGCAAGAAATCCCAGCGGTCCAAGGTGCGTTAAGGAAAGGAAGAGGAATCAGGGACCACATTGCAAACCTACAATGGTTAATGGAATAAAACAAGGAATTCCAGAAGAAAATCAGCATGTGCTCTATAAACTATAGCAAAGCCTTTGATTGCATGGATCATAAAAACAAAGAAAATTTAAGCTACGTTTTATTCATAAAATTTATAATATGGATGTATGTGTAAGCGAATCCACAACACTAGATAATTCCAATGTATACTCGGAAACATTTCAGTTGTCAAAGGCAGTCAACTCCATCAACGGCAAATACTAGGTTTCCATTGTTCGCTATCAAAGGAAGGCAAGCCACAAGTAACATTTCATCTCTTTTTAGGGATCCTGAGACCGATATAGTTACTCATACTGGGGGCTGATGTAATGCTCTGAGCAGCCTGATCCAGTTATCAATCCAGATACAATGTGGTGCAACATTAAGGCACCAGCATGAGCAGATGTACGGTAGTCTGCGATGAAATACATAGCACTGGACTTAGAAGTGTGAATGGCACATAGATTCAGCCATGCGAAAAGGTGTGGAGAGGAAGGAGCTTGTAAGAAAGAACACTGCTGCATACCATCTCCCCATTCTGCATTTCTGATGGATACCAACAGCCAAAATATGAGTTCTACCAGATCAAACAAGACTCAACCCAGTTTTTATATTTTGAGTGTTCCTGAACACCCCGCACATTTTTGGGGAATCTAGATCTTGTCTAGGTGTTGTAAAGCTCACTGATCACAACCAAACCTTTCCATTTCCCCAAATCTCTAAACAAACTCTCCACTTAGGAAACATCCTCAGGTTCCATTAGAGGAAATCAAGACTTTGGTTTCCCACAGAATTCATGGATTAAGGATATAAAGTTAAACCTTTGTCTGTGCTGTCCACTTCCTGAAGCTGCTTCTCTAAGCCTTGTGGTTTGCGCTGGTTCCACTTCTCTGCTTTTTGTGGATTCTTCCTTCAGGATAGATAACTGCACCCTCTTCTAAATCTTTATTTTTGCTATTTGGTTAGCTTGCTGTGTTTGTTGTTCAGATGAGTTATCTGCGTGCATGTGCTCTTTATATTTCTTCCAATAAAAGTTTATATTTTCACACGGCTGGGGTCGCTATCAATTACTACCAATATAGCTGGTTCTGGATCCTGCAAGTTACCTCTTCTCTCATAGCCAAATGTTTCTCAAACTGATTAAAGATAGATTGCTGCTGTCAGTGGAGGCTCTACTAGCTTCACATATTTAGGTTAACACTGACCGAGTGAAATAATGGGATGGTAGTAATGATTTAAATTCCACTGATTTAATGGATCTACCTTAGGTATAACTGAACTCTAGTTTACATTCAATACAAAACACCAAGAATTTTGTTCTCTTCAACCTTTGTAAGTAACTCACCACACTGACGTGTCACCATCATACAGGAGAGGCCAAATTGCAGCATTCTGCTGGAGTGAATAATATATAATAATAAATGGCTTTAAAATAAATGATAGCCAGGGAATAGAATCTCTATATGTTGCTGGACTACAACTCTTTTAATCCATCTTATGCTGGAGATCACAGAAGCAGAAGTCAACATCTGGAACACCACCACATTCTCCATCCCTGATCTGAAAGTTGCCCACCTAACCCTGCCTTCATCTGTACTGTTACTTGATTTTATGGGGGTGCCATCATATCAGCTAACACCATTTGGATACTTGGAGCTTATGACCTTTTGTCTGTTGTATTTCAAAAGCTGTTCTTAAGATAAGCAGCATTCCATGGATTTGGTTGTTGCTGTGTACTTTCCAGTAATTTATTTTGGGTGACCCTAAGGCCAACTTATGGGTTTTTCTTTGCAAGATTGTTCAGAGGGGGTTTGTCCTTGCCTTCCTCTGAGGCTGAGAGAATGTGACTTGCCCATGGCTGAGTGGAGATTCAAACCCTAGTCTTCAGAGTTGTAGTCCAACATTTAAACCATTACACCATACAGGCTCTCTTCAAACATTTTAAAAAGGTTAAAAAAATAGCTCTCAACATTTAGAAAAAAAAAGGAAAACGAGGTTTTAACCCAGTAATAGCAGCTGATTCATGCATTTTCTATTTACATACTTTTTTTTTACAAAGTTAATATTTGATACATAGTTTGATACATAGTTTTGCCCTCCTAACAGGCACATATGTAAATATGGATAATGCTTCATTGCTATATATTCCAAGTAAAGGTAGACTATGTAAATCTCAATCAACAATAACCAGCAATACACTGATAATGCAAAAGTGACCGTAAATTTTTAACACACAAAGCAGGAGTGTGAATTTCTAGATGTTATAAAATGAGCACTCCCATCATTCTCTACCACTGCTATATGGGATAGGGCTTCATGGATTTGAAATCCAACATTGGGAGGGCTACACAATTTCCTCCTCTGATATAAGAAGTGCCATATGGGATTTAAAGCATTTTTCTATACATAATTGTGTTTCCAAACCTCCAAATACATACTCAAATACAGTGAGCAGCATAGCCTCTCTTCTTTCCGTCAGATTGAGCAACTCAAAATTAAACAAGGATAGGTTAACATAGCCCTCAATTTGTAAATAAAATGTTTGGCAGGAGTAATTTACCAGATAGCTGACCCATTTATAGACCAAAATATATCTGCATAAACAGAAAACACACTCCCAGCATTACCCTCCATGCTCCACAGCACTTCTAGGAATTGCAGTTGAGCAATTTCTAGAGGTCTACACAATTCCCTGGCCCTGGTAAAAATGCAAGACAAAAACTCTGCATTGTTTCACAAGTATTATCTCCAGATACAAAAATGCTAAGAAATTTACTGGAAGTCAAAGTTTCTTCAATTAACTAAAGAAATTATGATAAAAGATGTTTGAATATTAAGCATATAAACTGAAATATGAAATAGGGAAGAGTGTTCTCTTATGAATTTGTGTGTGTGTGTGTGTGTTATACACAGCATGGTTTGGAGTTAAAATGATTATTTAAATGATTATTTAACAAAATCATCTTTTTTGTGGTATATGCAACTTCTACCTGTGAGCCAATGTTTGTAGCTATGTCTGTAGCTGTACTATTTAGATTGGATATAAAATTATTTACAGAGTAGTTCCACTGAAATCAATATAACCAAATAATATTGATTTTGATAGATCTACTCCTACTTAGGCCACACTCCATCCCTTTATGTAGAACACACATCTATGTTGCACAATGTCCAAATCATTCTTGGTTTTTATATTCTCAGAGAGATTAGGGGCATGTTTGCAATAAAAATATATCTGTATGTTGGCACTCAAGACAGTTGGAATCAACCCCAAAAATATCCCTTTTCAGGAACTAAACCTTGCTGAAAAGGTTTATTCTACATATGCCACAATCCTAATCCCAGTAACATTACTCTATATGATATCAAAAACATGTACAGAGTTTTTAGGGAGTTATTAACATACTGTTTTTCTGATGACAGAAGAGATTTTTTTTCTGCCTACCTTGTTACATTCTTAATACACTGTACACAGGTATAACATAAACCAGCCTTCTCCAATCTCATGTCCTCCTCAAGTTTTAGACCACAATTTCTCTTAGCCTTGACCACTAGTCATGTTGGTTAGGGCTTACAGACGGTAGAGAACCAGGTTAGGGAATTCTGCCCTGCAGTATTAGGCATGTATGTCCATGAAGTATGAAATCAAGATGCATTTGGGATATTAGCATTTGTACTGACACAAGTGACAGATTGTGAATGACACTATATTTAATCTTTTTCAAGCTCTAGATGTTCAGGGAAATTGAAAAACTGCAAATACATTTATCAGAATGAGCATTATAGAGCCAAGCCCAATAAAAAATGAAGCCATTGACCAGAATGTAAAGCTTCCTGATTGCTGCAATAAAAAGGTCTTAGCATGTTAACATCATCTGCAGCCATGGATCAACAACTTATACCAAGAAACTTTCAAACAACATGGAAAGTTGAACTAAATTCACTAATGTGAGTGAATAGCTGGTGGCACAAGAATAGGAGCAAATAGCAAGAGGAAAAAAATGCAGGCACAATTGAATTCACTAATAGGAGCGAATAGCAGGTGGAACTGTGGCACAGTCTTCTTCATTCAGGGTTTTGTCAATTACAGGTCTATAATCCAGTGTTACCTTAAAAAGGAAAAGAGAAAGTCCCAGTTAAAATGCTGGCTGTATTCTGAAGTAAAACTAATGCTATTATTTTATCTACTTATTCTCTCATGCATCTTATAACAACCTAAATAAGACATTACTACATGTTCACATGTTTAAATATTTATTTTAACAAGTATTTAAGTGAAGGATAGAGACTAAGACTATGGAAGAGTAACTCCTTCAAGCTCAAATCAAATTTCTGCAAGTCAAAGCTGCATAAATTCTTGGTATGAAAAGATCAGATTCCTTAAGATTAGAGTTAAAGACTAACATTCTCTGGATCAAGGGTAACAAATCTGTGTCCTTCCTGATATTCCTGAAGTGCAGTTCCTATTGTCTTTTATCATTAGTCATGCTGGCTAGGACGGATAGATAGTAGAGTCCAGCAACATCTGGAAAGATTATAGGTTACCGATTGTTCGATTTTAATCCAAATATGATTGTTGGACTACGACTTTGGAGACCAGGGTTCAAATCCTCCCTTAGCCATGAAAACCCACTGGGTCAGAGGAAGGCAAAGGCAAACCTCTTTGGAACAAATCTTGCCAAGAAAACCCCATGATAGGGTCACTAGAACTTAGAAATGACTTGAAGGCACACAACAACATATGTCTTAGGCTCACAATGCAAAGCAACTTTGTAGTAAGCATTTACCAACATTAGGAAAATTACTTATTTGGACTACAGTTTGCATAATCCCCAGAGAGGATGGCTATTATGCTCTGGCCTTTATTTACACATCCACACCCCACAATGAAGAGGCTTTTCCCACAGTGTACCCCTAGCATATACAGTTCCTTCTGTAACAACTAGTGCCAGTTTGGCATGCCAGTCTGCTCTATAATCCAGGCATCTGAGCAAGAAAAGGCCATATGCTTCTCCTGTCTTCTTTATGGCCCAAAATTAGAATGGCTAGAATTTTAACTTTTATAAGACAGCTTTGAACATGTTCAGTTGTATCCACTGGATCAAGGTAAAGGGATTTATGGGAAATGAATTTAAGTCAGACTTCTGTAGTAAGGGGGCAGTGGGAGGATGGTTGCAAGAACAACCAGTTCAGAAAATCAGAAAGTATTAACATTTCCTCCCCAGATTCCAGTTTAGTTTTCTTGTGATCAAGCAAGTTTCAGTGCAACAACTTCCAAATTCTACACTTAGCAGATGTCCACCAACCACACACTCAGGATGATCCATTAATTTATGTAAAGTGAGGCCAAGAATGCTGTGAGCATCGCCGGTAAATCTCAAAAGTATAAAACCTAATTCAGACATACACTCAGTTTCTCTTTCATTAAATGAAGTCCTCCATCTACATTCTACTGTAAATCAAATCTCCCCCTATTAACAACAACAGAATGAATAAATTTTAAAGGCTTACATACCTTCCCAGTCTTGACATCTACATAAGAGAGTGTGTGTTTTCTCCAATGTTGTTCAAATGGTTTTTTCTGTTGTCCTTCGATTGGTTTAGAAAAATCATATTCATCTATCCTAACCTAAACAATACAATGCAAGTATGAAATAAGAGCTTGGAAATCACATTCAGAAAATATTAGCAATGTTTTAAAGCAGCATTAAACATTCTATAATACTACAGAAATTTATTTTCATTTATCTATTCGAATAAGGGAGGGCAACTTAACAAAGGCCAATTTTCAATCCCAACCATGCTTGTATGCCAAAATATTTACTGTTTCCCTCCTTTTCTCCTCTGAAATGGTGACCAGAAGTGACATTTTCTATCACCATTTTGGTGGGGAAACAGCAAGACAGAAGTATTTAAGGGGGCAGGGAACCTTTGGGAAGTGCTTTTTGTGTGTTTTGGGGCATGCATTTGGGAGGTCTGGGGTATGATTCTTGTGCAAAAATTAGTCCCAAACCAAGATGAAAATAAAAATTATCAACACATTTTAGGGGTTTGGGGGTGGGTTTTGTGGAAGTGATGGGGAAGGGGGCTTCAGATTCTGTATTTTCCCCACCCATGAATTAGAAGCATAATTACAATCACAGACATACAGCAATCTTTGCAATTTTATATTTTATTAACTTTTGCTTTGCAATTTTATATTTTATTAACTGACATACAGCAATCTTGACACAGACATCTTGATAGATTCATTTTTAAATGAAACTGGGATGTGCTGTCTTCTCAGAATTGCACACTTTTTAAAAAGAGCACTGGCTGCACAGCTGGGCCCTTGGAAGTGATCTCAGAAAGTTACACTGAATGACTTGGGATAAGACAGTGGGAAGTAGCTAAGGCTGCAAAAGAAGCTTCTCCCTTACCGAAGAGTTAATGAGGTATCTACAATAAGGTATCTATAGATGAGCAAGCTTGTTTAATAACAACATACCCACCAATATTGAAACGGAAGCTAAGGTTCCGCTGGGTAGAAATGTGTTTATTTTAAAAAATAGTTCTCAAAACTTTTTGAACCCAGTTATCCCATCTGAACTGCCACTGACTTGCATTCCCATCCCAAATAAACATAATATTCCTCAGGGCTTGAGTATTTATTAAATAATAGCATTAGAACTGGAATAGAAATTGGTATCTTTTATTGACTACATAAACAACTCAGAAAGAACTATACCTCGGAAAAAGGAATAACTGGAAAATATTTTATGCTTTAAGACAGTCATGTCACTATTGGGATGCAGACCACACCAGGCTACACCCCAAGCAGGGGTGACACCACTGCTCCTCAAACATATGTCTTTGGGCAGAAACAGGCTGTGTCATTCACCTGTGTCACTTTAAAATGCTGAAGAGATGGTGTGAGTGGGATGAGGC